GAGGGAAAAGGCATTGTCAGCACAGAACAGAGAATACTTCCCTGGGGATCTAATGCAAATTCCTTTTTCTCAGTAGATATTTTGTTCTGCCCTCCTTGGACAAAGAAAGGGGCAAGTATTTGACATTGCCCAGCCATCTCTCAGCTACTTTTCTGAATTAAAGATTCCCCTAGATTAACACCAGCAGAGTTTACGTAACCTTGAATTTAGCTCCAGTGACTGGAATCATGACATGAATCTGGCACTACAAACCACCTGATTAATCCCGTGCTAATCTCAAGGAACCCGATATTTTTGTCTTTCCTAAGATTCTGCTTCTACTGAGCTTACAGTGAAAACAGTCATTTTTTATCTTTGCTAATGCTGTTCCATTTTGAATTTTGCTGGTCCAAGGTGAATAATGAAGAAGAGAGAGTGAACCTTGACTACAAGGTTTTACTTAACAGCACTCCAGCCTTCATGCCTGACTGTGTCAGTGTTTTTTGGCAGCAAACTTAAAGACAAGACACAGTCTCCAAAGTCTTGTGCATGTCTACAAGCCAGAATATTATTTTGGTACTTTGCTCATTGCAGATACATGCTCTTATTTTTTGGCTCTGTATTTCTCATCAACACTTCTGACTACAAATTGAAAATAAGAGTGGGGCCTGCTTATAATTACATCAGAGAGATTGTACAGTCTTCTGTATTATTGGGGACTGCTATGCATGTGTAAATTAGCAAATTAAAGCAGTGAAAAAATATCTAAATATTTTCTGCTTCACCCTTGAAAATAGTATAAATAATATAAAAGAACAAATGATCTGTGTGCTTCAGCCCTAATAGTCATACTGCTGGTGAGGCACCAAGCACAACTGCTGAGGCTTTGTGAATCCTGAGCTTCCAAACCAGACAAAAGCAGAAGAGAAAACTTAGTGGTATTGTTTCCTCATCTCTGTGAAGCACTGAGCAGAAGAGCCAGTGTTGACATATGGCTGAGACCAGGCCAAGACAGGAGAGCAAACATACACCAACCATGTTGTGAAAAATCTTGTTTCTTTCCTTTTTGGAAGCAGTAAGGCAGCCATCTCCTGCTGAAAAGTCCTCCAGACAAGATCCTGTCTACTTACAGTCAAGAGAAAGCAAAGGGACAGAGGAGCTATTTTTCACTTTGAAAGAACCTCAGACAAGTTAAGAAAAAACTTCCTGATAGAAACTGTCATCCATAATAGCAATGAAAAGCAGGCCTGAAGAGCCTCAATTATATAAGCAGCAGCCTCTCTGTGAGACTCAAGCCCTGTATGTTCAGAAATATTTTGATTTTGACAGGCCTCTCTAGGATATGCCTACGTATAGCTATATGAAGATGCCCTAGGAGAGCCTTCCAATCTGGGTGCAGGATTTGCCTCTGCTAAACCAAACCCCTGCTGTTCAGGCTGTAATAGCTGCTCAGAGTTGTTACAACAGTGTTACTAGCAATCATATTCTAGATGACTTAAGAGAAAACGTCATCTTTTATCCTTTTTTGGATGACAGTCACTTATTGTTTGCTGCTAGCAAGGCTAAGTTGAAATCTATATCAAGTCACAGGTGAAGACTTCCTAAAATTTAGCTTCTTGGTCTTCTGAATTTTTGTGACCTTTCTCGTAAAAAATTCTATGGGGCAAATGGGGTGTTGATTAATATCTTCCCAACTGACACCCCCCTTTTTATTACAGGCACTTTTCTCCTCTCTGCTTGAACTACCTTGATGTGCTTGAACTACTTGCAATCCCCCAAATCCCCCAAATTTTGTTGAGTGTTGCAATAGTTTCTATCTATAGCTAACCCAGCTCATCAGGGTATTGTTGTATTTAATTGAAGTTTGTAATACACTTTGAGATCCTCATATGAAGTGCGAAGTGTAATCACAAGTGCAAAATAGAATTGTTTATAATTCATAATGTGGTAGCAGCCAGGCCAATGGGGGAAAGTTGAAAGGAAATTCAAAATGTATCCTTTGCCCTTTGAAGTTTGATTGCAACTTGGCTCATGCATCAAAGAGGTGACTAGTTTCCTTTAGGGTTTAAGTCTCTGCCGAAAAAGATCAAATCAAAAGCAATCTGGGGTTCCCAATTAGATTTGTATTAAAAATCAATAACGAAGACCCTATAAAGGCATACTGATGACTCTTGAAACACTTGCAAAATGAGTGCAGCTCATTTAAGGGCAGACTGTGATAATCCCTGCTTTGATTAGTAGCTTATATCATGAGTAGTCCCATTAAATTCAGTGCAGCTACGTATGGAATGAAGGGCTGTTCAATGGAAAGCAGCCCAGCCTTGTCCTTACAGAGCCATGCATCACTCAGAGAGCAGGGCTGCCCTGCCCTGCTTTGTGCCAAGCAAACACCCTATGTCCACATATGCTTTTAGTCCAGCAGCTGCTCCCAGGACCTCTGTAGGCTGTCTGTATTGTACAGATACGGTTCTCAGCAGTTTATCATAACTATATGTGATTCTAAAGGCTGTAAAGATTTTCTGCTATATTCTTTCCTGCTGATTCCTTTATGCCCTCAGGGTGAAATAATTTGTTGATGCAAATACAATAACTGAAGAACCTTAGTGGCCTACTGAGATGGTTGTAGAACTTAGGTGTAGCTGATAGCATGAGAAATTTGCCACAATGGTACTTAGCTAGGATACATGTGCACTGTGGATTTGATTTACATCTCATGATAAAACATTATTCTTCTATATGGCAGCTTAATCTCTGTGTCTAATCACAAGACTTAGTAGTCTAAACGTACACCGAGGGCCAAATTCAATTAAAAAATGTCCCGCAGAAATCCCTTTTTCATTGTTTTCCCAGCCTTGCTCAGGCTTCTGTAGAGAAGCTGTGATTTTTAATGTTTTTTGTAATAAGATGGACCCTAGGATTCCTTCTGTTCCAAATCATCCTCTCCCTTTCTTTTCAATATGCTTTGTCATATCCTTAGTACCTTAGAGGATTCCGGTTTTTAAAGCTAGCATTTACAGCAGTTGTCTTTCTTCATCAGTTTGAAAATCTTTGGAACACTGTGGATGTCGATGTTGGTGGATGATTGAAATATCAGGAATTTTTTAAGAAATTCAGCTCAGAACATGTAGCAATGTCATCAACCACTCCCAGTGCGACCTGTCCTGAGACTTCTACCAAGCCAGTTACCTGTGCATCCTCTCAGCCAGAGCATCCCAAGACATCATCTTCTCTAGTGGGGCAGAAGAGTGTAAGTATGGTTGTTTTATGAATTTTATCAATTTTCCTTTCTTGTGCATAGACTGAAAATAATAGTTTTGGAAGTTAGTGCCAGTGTTTCTATTGATTGCCCCTGAGATCTGGCACAAAGCCTGTTAATAAACAAATGGGGTTACTTGCAAAATAATTGTGTTACTAATTAGTAACTCCCCTGAAGTCAAATCATACATATCAATTTATAGCAATAGCATTCCCTGCTATTACCTTGGACATCTCCATCAGATGGCAAAACATCAGATGGCAAAAATTCTTTTGTCGTTTAAGTACAGTCCCATTTCTGAGAACAAAGTGAACTGCCCAAACCTCAACAGCCCAACAGCTGCAAAAGCAACAAAGCAACATAAAAAAAGGTAAGTGGTTGCCTGACAAAGCCAGGCAGGAGTGGTAGTTGCAGTTTGCTGGCCTGTGCAAAACATTCTTGTGGTTTTGCTCTGCTTTCTGACAAATGCCAAATTATAGTTGTTGATGGCTGGGAGTCAGATTGGTAGACTTGCTATGAAGACCACTGATCCAAGACAGATGAGAGAATTTCATGAGAAAGGGAGTAGTCTTGTTCCACTTTGGCATCCCTGGCTATACTTACTATGTTAGTACTGCACTTTGGTCCCCTCCACTGGCAAAAATATTTGATATCCACTTGTGGAGCTTCACGTGCTTGTACCATGTTCTTTGACTATGACTAAACCTACAAAAGAAAAATAAAATATTAAAATTATTAAGGTCCTATAAAATGAGTTTTCTGACTACTTCTACATAGAGATGTTTAACTACTGAAAAAGAAATAACAGATTGAGCAAATTAAAGATGCAAACAACTTGTCACAGCTGGTAAATCTAAACATAGGCCCATTGCTAGCTCAATTATTGCATTAACTGTAGATTCTTTCGTGAAAAGCCAGGCTATTAGAATGCGTCCTTCATGCTTCGATCCAGTTCTCAGAGAAAGCACTGGAAAATTTCTCATTACTGTCTGTGAATGCTAGGTTGGATGGTGCAAGTCCGTAGGAAAGGAATGTAAGTCTCCCAGAATGTATGGCTGTTGGGAAGACCCAGCCAGCCTGAACACCTATTAAGATTCTTCTCTGTAGCATTCGTTGCATGGAAGTGTGTGAGTCCTCATCAATCCTGCACCAGTGAGACTCCTGTAGGAACACTGGGAAATCTCAGAAAATATAAGAATATTTGTTGGACCTAGGAGCATAACTATGGCTTGTGCACCCAGCATATAGAAGTAGGCTGAGGCTATACATCCAGCTCACCCAAAGTACTGCTGAGAGAGCAGTCAAAAAGACACTAAGCACTGGCATCTTCTCACACTGTTCTTTCTGTGGGCTCTGCATGTGAGACCACAGAACTGAGTTTTCTCAGTAAGAAATCAAAGCACTGTTATTGCATTATTCAGTGATTATTTTGTTCAAAGATGATATTACACAGCTTTTCTAAATACAGAATCTGTTCTTTATTTAAAAAAAAAAAAAAGTTTGGAGAAACTGTAAATGATTTACAAGTAAGATGAATTTTTTAAAAAAGTGGTCAAGGCTGAGTAAGCAAATAGTGTCATTTCAACACTAAGAGTTTTCTAATATTTTTACCTACAGTTTTGCAAAAACAATTTAAATCAGAAATGGTTCAGATGGTGCATTAGTTTCAATGCTGAAAGGCCAGAATCCAGATTTGTCATCTAGTTAGTTATCTACAAAATCAGTAAGACTTGGTAGAAAAATTACTGTTATCTCTTGGTTTCAGACATCAGCATCCAGCCATCCTCAGACAACAACAGACTGTTCTGCACCTGTCCCTAACTGGGAAGAAATAGAAAATAAGATAAGAAAGAATATCCAGTGTTCCTGGAGAGACATACTGAAGCTGTGTCAAGAGAAGGATGTCAGCGAGATAGGAGAAATCCCATTGTCCGACTTCCTAGGTTCGTTACCATCTGAAAAGTGCTTTATTCATTCTCAGATGTGTTCTGTTTTCTTTCTGGTGTTCTGGCTATCGGCCTCCAGACATGTGGCATTCACTGCATGGTTGCTCCAGATCCCACCCTGTTAGTGCAGGGCAGAACAGCTTACTGTAGCTTTGGGTGCAATAAAATCCTGTTCGTATTCAGAATTAGTTGCCACTTAGAAAAGGAGTACATGGCTTTGCTTGTTGATAATTTTGGCTTGTAGACAAGTTATTTCCTCACCTTCCAAGTACACTGCCCTTATTGTACCTGGTGATGTTTTAATAACTTCGCCAGTCTTTTCCTTGTGATCTTGCATGTGCTTCTGGTTTCTCTGGTAGCGACAGCTGAATACCTGTTGATTTGAAAGGACCCTGGATTTTACTCTCAGACAAATTGAGCTACGCTGCTCTTATGTTGTGTTCTCTTCCTGAGAGAGTGTTCTGTGCTTCTGTTAGGACGTCCATCCACAAGTGTGATAAGACAGTGTACACTTGTGTAATCAAATGTAAAGTCCTGGGTAAAAAAAACATGTTAGCTTATCAGAAAATCAATTACATTCAGTATCAAGGCATACTTCTTGTGTGTTTAAAATCAAAGAAACATGTTATTAGTCTGCTGAAGCCCTGTGAAGTGTGAACAGCTACCTCTAGAAGTGTAGGCATATGTATATACCTGCATATAGCAATGGCTGTATAATATATTTAAGCAGAAGTCACTGAAAGTGAGCACGTCAACATATCCCTGTAAAACTTGTGAACACAATACGCGATTGTCTATTTTTATGAGTGACAAAGTAGATGTTATTTCTGCATTTCTTTATTATTTCAGATATAGCAGGGAAGTTCCATTTGGAGTTAAGCAAAGAAGAAATTAACCAAATAACAACAAAATACGATATCAAGAAAAATGGAAAAATTGCATACTATGACTTCTTTCAGAGCTGTGTCTTGTTGTTAAAACCACAGAAAAGCACGCTGCTACAAAGAGTGATTATACCGAAGCCACAAAAACCGGTACATACAATGCTTATAAAAATCAAAATTGCACTTTTTTCAGTTTCTGCTGCAGTGACAGAGAATTCCAGCATTCTCTTGTTTAATCCCATGATGTTAATTTCTGGTATTCATTTGGTATCCCCTTCAGTTTGAGGATCTAACTCCTTGTGATCATGCTCCCGTGTACCCAAGTTAGATGGTAAATTGGCTAAATGTGCTAAAATTTGGATAATTACTACCAGGAGAAAACATAGGACCTGAAGTTTTAAGAGCTTTTGTTGAACTAAATAAAAAACAATTTAGGAATAAAAAGTGCTGTGGATGTGTCATGGGATGGCTGTCATTCAGCAGCCAGTCCCATGCTCAGCCTTGTAGGAAAAGTATGGAGGCACCACTGTTATCAGTCACTAAAATCATTTTGTAGCCAGGACTGGTCAAGCACATTGTATCCATGCAGCTGTCCTCCTAACATGTACCTATTCCTCGAAAGACAGGCCCAGCAAAACAATTAGCCATAGGCTGTTGCCCGTATAGGCAGAACGTGACAAATACCTATAGTAGTGATCTAAGGCAGGAAAGATGAAAAGAAGAGTAGAAGACAGGCTGTAGAGGCCCAGAAGGAAGGCATTGGTAATAGTGTCCCGATCAAATTATGTAGTAGGAACAGTGCCAAAATCCAAATCTGCTCATTCAAATGAGCTGTTTTTGACTGTGCCTAATTAGTTTAGATATGGTTAGTAGCAGCATTTTATAGAGAAATTACATTACTGAACTGTTTTCAGATGTGAAACGAACAGATTGCTACTAAGGTATGAAGAGAGTATCATTAGGAATTATCAAGTATTCACTACCAGTAGGGACAGTAAGGTAGAACTATTAAGTTTTGCATCAAAAAACCTCATTAACTTACATAAGGTTTCCTTTACACACAAATTTGATGCTGTAAAATTTCATCCCAGAATACTGGAGTGGATAAAGAAGGAATTTTTGAGTCCCTTATGTAGTTGTCTCAAATCACTTTTATTTTATTTATCCTGTTCAGAAAATGCAATGAAGGTCTCAGTCCATGTTTTGAGCATCTTTGTATAATGTAATATTCAAAGTGAAATTTCCTCATTGATTGCTCACCCCATTCCATCTAATAAGCAGACAGATGCACATCAAAAGGAATAATAATTAATAATGGTAATAATAGTAATAATAAACTTTTCCTTTATGTCATAGGCACAGTTCTTTCTCTAAAGCCTGAGGGAATCAATGGCCTAGGGCTTCACGGAAGCATCAAACCTCCACGCTATGAAAATAACCCAAGTTGCATTCGCTGTAAAAAGCTCCTTCCCTTATTTCAACCCACAAGAGTACTCAGTATTTGGGGTTGGAAATTGCATTATTCATGTATCCATGCATTCCTCAGCTACATATTCTGAAGGCAGAACGCACCATGAGCACAGATCAGTGGTGTTATCTCACTACCATGCCTGTTACAACACATATAGGCGCAATACAGTGTCTGCTTGTGTCTGCCTGTGTCCAACTAACAGAGGTATAACATCCTCTGTTTGTTTCCTTCACAATGAGACATTTGTAGAGACTGTAGCGTCACGTGTGCCTGGCACAAAAGTGGCATAAGTGACGTAACCAATGACAAGTGTTAAGGAGAAGCCTGACATGTACCTAAAAAAATAAAAGGACAGCAGAGCAGATTCAGATCCTGAAGGTGGCCTGCTGACTTTGGATTCCCAAAGTCTCTTACTCATGGCAGTACTACAGTAATAGTTCTGCAGATCACATGTGTTCAGCGTACAACATGTAACAAGCGTAGCCAGGCTAAAACAAGGAAAGACATTTCCTAAGGAAAATTAAGTCTAAGTTCCAGTTATTTAACTGCAGAGGTCCAAAAAAACTGACTACAAGGTATTATAGCTATAGGGAAGAATGTAGAGCAGAGTTTTGCTTTTCTTAAATCACATGCTGCCCCCATAGTAGGATTATGCATTCAGTGATTTTAAAGCAAAAATTTCACTCTGGAAAATGAATGCTGCAGGGAATTAAAAATGCCTGAAAGAGGGAGTTGAAACAAGGACAAGCGCAACACAAGTGAAAACACAGGGAAAAAATCTGAGAAGAAGTAACACTGACTTAGAATCAGTTTCAAATAATACAGTTAGGGCGTTGACAGTGATTAAGTAAATATACCATCTGCACTTTCCAAGAATATTAAAATGTCATAGGTTAAAATTATCTTATGTAAACAGTATCTTGCAATAATTTGTAAACAAGTGCTTGGCAGCCAGTTCGCCAATTAAGCCAGCGCTACTTTCCGATACCTTCTCATTCTGCATTATTGTTCTGCCCCGTTGTGTCCATTGTAATAATGCTTGTCTTTCTCATCCAATTTTGACAGATGAGTCCTGGACCACAGTCTGTGTTGTTCTACAGCACAATGCTGAGAATTCAGCCCCAGATCTTGCACTGTTGGAGACCAATGAAGCGCACTTTTAAATCCTATGACGAAAGTCGTACTGGACTGTTAAATGTTGCAGATTTCAGACAAGTAAGCTGTGTTGAGCAGTTAACAGTCAGAAAATTGCAGTACTTTAATGTGAGCTTCCTGATTGAAAATTTTCTGGAAAATGGTACCGAACTATAGTATATAAAGTCATTCTGGCTTTCCTCTGTAAATTTAGCTCTGACTATTACTTGTGGTAATCTTTCTCCACATATGATTATACATTCTCAGGCTGAGGGTCTTAGTGGGGTCCTGCTATAACAGCATAAATAAAGCAGAGAAAATCTTAGTCCCTATCATAGAATCACAGAATGATTTGGGTTGGAAGGGACCTTAAAGACCACCCAGTTCCAACCCCGTGCTGCGAGTGGGTTTGCTACCCATCAGCTCAAGCTGCTCAGGGCCTCATCCTACCTGGCAATGAGTGCCTCCAGAATTGGGGCATACACAGCTTCTCTGGGCAGTCTGCTCCTATACAATCTTTAAATACAGAGCTTTCACAAATGCATAAGAACAGAGGTACTGGCAGAATCAAACAAGTCCTTTGTGGAAAGTAGCTGCAGGATCCTGTGGACTTCCAACTGGTGTCTTCCCTTCTGAATGTGAAATGGGCCCAAGCAGTCCACATCTAAGAATCTCTATTACTGGTTTCTCTCTTTGCTCTTTTGTGTGAAGTACAGTTTTGTACTAGGGGAGGGATCCAAAAGCTCTACAAATATTTTGGCATCTTGTATCCCCTCAAATACCAAATGCCTCTGTATTCTATATATGTATATTGCATCTGGAATTAATAGTTGCTTCTTCATCTATATCTATGGGGATTCTGATTTTTACTCAATCTTCACAAATTTCAGTGTATTCTTTGTTTTATTTATTCATTGTTTTATTTAGGATTAGTAATCGCAGTGTGTTCTAGACGAATTGTGAATATTTGCTATTCAACTGCAAGAAAAAATTACCATGGGTTCCTAAACTCATTTAATGCTGCGTGCATTGAGACACCCCTTGGTATTATTACTGCTTTAAAGAACTGATAAACTGGTGGACGGGATGCTCAATCACAGCAACCAAATGCTTACATGCAATAAGTAATCGTGAGGTGTAATTCTGAAGCTCGCCTTCCCTGGAGCTGCAGAAAACCAGCTTGTTGCCTGGCACTGCAAAGAACAGCCTAAACCTCTTTAGATTATACCAGTCACTGAACTCCTCTGTAAATCTTTACTTATTTAGTGTTGGTGGGAACATGATATTTCCTGGCACGGACATGTAACTGAAACCTAAGTCCCTACGTGAAGACTGAGGGATGAGAAGCACCACTGTAGCTATACAATCTTCATGCCACAGGCTCCCTGGCTGTCACTACAGCTTTTTGCCTGCCTGGGTACTGCCTCAGGATATCAGGCTTAGGGGAATAGGAATGAAGATCAGACCTGTTAGTTTGTCATATTCCTCTAGGACTGTGATGATTATCTTTCCAAGTTAAAGCGCTGTCAATAATTGCAAATCAAGCGTCTTTAACATGATCTAAGCTAGGCTAAAATAAACAAATAAATAAATACAATAACATCTCATAGGCTTAGATGAAGAAGCCATCCCCAGTTCCAGAATACTGCTACAAAGGTGTTAATCGGCCACTGACAAGATGTAAGGTGTTTTGTGAAGGAACAGAACCCTTTATTTCCTAGGAAACTTAAATTTACTGAAATGGAGAAATTAGCACCCTCCTAACTTCAGCAACACTGCTATTTACGGCTGTACAAAATGCACAGGCCATTAGCAACTTCAGATGCTGAGTTGTTAGGAGAGAGTTGCAAACCAATAAGATCTTTCCAGAAAGCCAGTGATTAGTGGCGTGGCATACCAGCACTAATGGCTTTGCTGGTCACTGGCAGGGCCCAAATTCTCAAGTGCATGTGAAACCAGAAGTAACGCCCAGAAATTAATGTGTAAAAACATGGAGTACATGTGGGCATTATTACATACATTGGGGTTTGCACAGTTGGAGTGACAGTGTTATTCCTTCTGTTTCCCTGGATGTGAAGACTGTAGATCATCCAAGAAGGATACAAAGGAAGACACTCCATTTCTCCATCCCATCTCCTAATAGTACTTAAAGCCCTCTAAACATGCATTATGTGTAAATTTGCTTCTACACACATAGGGGCTCCCCATCTCCAGTGCTCCCCCTAAGGCAAGTGCTGTTTGGGATTGTGGATGAAACCCCCTGCATACACAGGTTTTCAGAAATGCATCCCAGGAACCAATGCTGACATGGAAGTCAAAGATAAGAAAGAGGATTTGATTTTCTGGTATTCTCAGAAACCTAAGATAGGACAGGGCTAAATCATGAAGTTGTTCTGTAAAGAAATTTTAGCATAACTGTTTTTATTTCTTCCTCACCAAAGGAACAATAAATTTTAAAGTTGCTTCTGTCTTTTACAGGTTCTTCATGAATACAAAATCAACCTATCGGAAGAAGAGCTGTTTAACATTTTGGAATACTATGATAAAACTGTATCTTCAAAAATATCCTACAATGATTTTCTCCGGGCATTCTTACAGTAGGATTTGGTCAAATGCAGGAAATTGTAGATAAAGACAGTGATGGATTTACAATTTCAAATTTCAAACTAATAAATTAATTGAGAATGGCTTTTTGTATCTATTCATTAGAAAACTCAAAATACTTCAAAATTCTGACAGAGTGGTCCTGTGTTGTGGATTAGATCTACGTAGTGAGAGAATTAATTTTGCATAATCCATTTATCAAAAAAGAGGCAACAATTAACATTGTCAAAATAAGGCTTCTTAAGACATCTCCAAGAGCTATTCTTTTAAGAAAACTCTTCTTTTCAATTTTACACATTTTATTAACGGCATACTCTAATTTCAGTAAAAAGGTTTACAAGGCATACTATTCAATTTCCTCAATTGTGGTTTTCCAAATGTATTACTTTTAGTATATTAGCCATCATTATTCAAAAAAATCATCCCATTTTGCAGTGCTTCTTTTTCCTGTGCTTAGTGTCATATTTGTCTTGTCAAGGACATTAATTTGGAATGGCTATTAAGATGCCAACGGTGAGTCGACACCACATCTTACTATATTAAAACTGTTCCTCTACATCCGTCAACAGTTTAGAAAAGAAGGCACCAACGAGCATTGGCTTCTTAACTGCAGATAGATTCCTAGTGTTAGTCATGAGGTTTTATTTTTTAGAGTACAGATATAAATTAAACAGTAAATTGCAAGTAAACCGTTTGGTTAGATTTCCCAACAGCTACTGTTTGCTGTTCCCAATAGCAAAATTCTGTTTGAATATCTTGTGAGATACTCAGATCTTGGGAAGGAAATTAAAAAGTAACTGTTTTGATTGTTGAACTTCTGAGATAATTAAAGGACATATGATCATCAGAGCTTGCTTCCTGGCATTGTATCAACAACTAAACAATTACCTGATCTGAAGACTTGTTAGGTAAATATGTCACTGTTGGGTTCCTGAATTAATATTCACTGGTACACTGAAGAGTTCTGTCCTTATCACCTGTACTTATTTGGCATCACTCTTCCTCCAAAGTAGAAAAAAGTTTAACAGTATTAATAAAGGAAAAGAAAGAGCAAGCTGTGTGGTTGTAGAAGCATGTACAAAACACACACAGACACATGAATATATGGAAGTCAAAAGGAAATGGAAGAACATAATCCTCTTTTTCTTATTGTTTCTAGTGAACATGTGAGCCATTGGTAGGAATCTGAAAGATTCCCAGTGCCCACCACTTTAATGCAGTCACTCAGAGGGTGATCCACTGGAACAGGTTGTCCAAGGAGGTTGTGGAGGCATTCAAGGCCAGGCTGGATGTGGCTCTGAGCAGCTTGGTCTGGTGGTTGGCCACCCTGCACATAGCAGAGGGGTTGAAACTACATGATCATTGTGGTCCTTTTCAACCCAGGCCATTCTATGATTCTATGAATGTCTGTTTTTATGAAAAAATGGTTCATTGCATTTGGAGCTTCCACAGAAAAAGAAGGCACTGGGGATGTTTCTGATTGGACCTGTGGATGTGAGGTGTAGATGTTCTGTACTGTTTTTCATATAGCTTCTAGGATACTCCAACATAAAATAAATACATTTGGCATTGGATGTGTTTGAAATGGTAACATAAAGAATACTTGCTAGATTTTTTCCTCAAAACTGATGGCTATCTGTAAATCCCTGTAATTGATATTTAGATGATTAACAGAAGAGATTGTGACTACAGTTATTAAAGGCTGTCCTCCCATACTAAGCTAATACAAAAATTCCTAGTTCCATTCCTGGAAAAGAGTGCATCTTAGGGATACACATACCTGTAAGTGACTGAAAAGGACGGGCCTCGGTGCATAGCTGTTGTGGCATGTTGGACGTTCCCACTGGGCATCTCCAGGTGATCCTGCATTGACATCGGCCAGCCCCACAGGAATGTCCCAGTGTCTGAGGTCATCTCAGGCTACAGCAGGAAATCGTGTTTCAGCACCTGATTTGATCCCACGAGGGGTTCAGTTTAGCCCTGTACAAGAACCAATTAGTCTGGCCTTTTAGTTTTATTTTTGTAACTGTTGTGACTCCACAAACTGCTCTCTTCTTTAATAGCAACTTTTTCCCCCAACCCTAATCAGGTGCAGCATGCCTGATTTAATTTCTGTTATTATTTCATGCAGTTTATGTCCTGAATTAATCATTCATACTCATTAAAGAATTAATTGCTGTTCGGAACACCTAAAATTGTAACACAAATACTACAATGATTAGTTTTTAAATAGTGGATTTCACTGAACTGTTATAATGATGGCCAAAAAAAACAAAAAACAAAAACAAAAAAAAACCCAAACAACAAAACTATTTAAGTAATTATTGGGTGGTTATGTTTTTGTGTATTTTTTTTTTCAAATACACCAACACCTTCTATCTGACAATTGGATCCAGTTTTGTACCAAATATAATAAGGTCTCCATCCCCATGCTGTTACTGGGCAAGGAGGAATGTTGTGAAAGGATAAGGGCATTGTGCCCTGGCTCTGCCACCTTCAAGGTACCTGCCATCTTCAGAAGACATGCTGTGTCCAGGGACATTCCTGGGCTTCTTGACACGTCGTGCCAGAGGATTTTTCATTAGTTCCACTGGCAGGAGTATCAAATACAACAACTCCAAAGGGATTAAAGAGCAATCTTTTCGCTGTGCGAACAAATCAAATCATGCTGGTTTTTTTAGTGAGTTTTTAAAGGCAGAGATGGCACTTGTCAACTGTTTATCCAGCCTCAAAAAAACAAAGTGAATTTCAACTACCAGCATTTCAAAATAAGCAAGGTAATTTTTCATATTAAAATCACAAACTGCTGGATGGATCAACTTTATAATGGAAGAGAGATTTTTAAGCAGCCCTTCCCCAGAAACAATGGCCAGTCATCCAGCATCGGCAGGCTGGCAGGCATCCCATTTGTTTCCACTAAGAGGTAGATAATGTCAGTGGGATTGAGTATTATCCCTTGGTAACAGTCCCCTGCTGCTACACGTAATCACTGAGGCAGTTATGAAAATAAAAAACGTCAGTGCAAAGGGAGGAAATGTCACTGCTGAGCAGAGGACACTGATTCCTGTTTTCTGCCATCCCAGGAGCAGCCTTCAGGGAGGGAAACACAGGTAGGGCCACAGCGGGGTTTGGAGCAGCATCTCTTCTTCATGAAAGGCTATAGGACTAAAGTCAAGGATCCATGGAGGTGGTTCCGCTGGGCATCACAATCTGCCTCCTGCCACAGCCCTTCTGCCCAACCTCATGTTGCTTGCTATTCTATTCCCAGAATGGTGTCATTACTGCTGGGGACCTGCTTTGTACCAGAGGCATGAAATTCGCCAAGGGTAGAGAAGATCTACTCCTTCAACAGTGCTTTAACAGCGCTTTAAGTTCCATTTAAACCACTTCTGAACAAAATAAACAAACCGAAGGAGATTGAAGTTGCTGGTCAATCCGCCACCTCACAGAGGCCTCGTGTTCCTCCCAGATCACCCATCAACCTGCTCAGAAAACCCACTGACAGAAGGAAACCTTCAGAGATGTGTGCTGTGGTGGAAGCCTCCCTCGAGTAGCATCCAACCGACAGCACCCACTAACTGCCAGCACCACCAGAGCCTGCACAACAGAAGAACTCGTGCCAGCCAAACCCCGTAGGGTTTTCAGACAATTAAAGTTGAAACAAAAATGAATTTTGTATTTAATTAGACTATGAAGGAGGAATATCTTTCACTGCATTCTCTTCCTCTTGTATATCTCTCACTTTGAAGCTCCTGTGACACCAGCAGCATTGTCTTGTTAGCACATACCTGAGCCCTGCCCCAGGCCCGCTGGCCACCATTGCCAAGCACTGAGGCCTAACTTGGGGCAGGCAGCAGCTCAAGAGGGCCCTTCCTGGGCAGGGCAGAATCACAAGGCACAAGAGTTGCTTGCTGGTAGCATGAGCAAATAGGGAAAGGAATACGAGGTGGAAAACAGTTAGCAGAGGGAAGTTTATAGACTTTGTGGCAGCTATTTCTATTCTGGAGCTGCTGGAGTGGTTTCCGAGGCTGCTGGAGCAGGTCCAGAGGAGGTCACAAAAATGCTCCGAGGGCTGGAGTACCTCTGCCATGAAGAAAGGCTGAGGGAGTTGGGCTTGTTTGTCTGGGAGAAGAGAAGGCTCCAGGGTGACTTCACTGCGATCTTCCAGTACTTGAGGGCAGCTTCTAAACAGAAAGCAGAGTAACTCTTTACATGGCCTAACAGTGGTAGGACAATGGGGAATGGCTTCAAATTAAAAGAGGAGAAATTTTGGTTAGATGTTAGGAAGAAACTCTTTACCCAGAGGGCAGGGAGGCTCTGACACCAGCTGCCTAGAGAAGCTGTGGATGCCTCATCCCTGGACGTGCTCAAGGCCAGGTTGGATGGGGCCCAGAGCAGCCTGAGCTAGTGGGTGGTAATACTGTCCATGTCAGGGGTTGGATCTCAATGGTCTTTAAGGTCTCTTCTGACCCAAGCCATTCAATAATTCTGTGTTCTATGATTCTATGGAGCTTGCAGGACCAGAAACAAAGTCTCTCTGTGCTTAGAGGATGAACAAATAGAGTAGAGAGGGGGTTAAGGTAATCAAAGGGACTGAAAAGAAAAGGAACAAGGAAGAGCTTCATAGAGCCCATCTTCTACAGGCACACAAGGCTAGAAATAGAGCATGCTTTAGAAAAAAAATCAAACTCCTCCAGAATGCAGTCATTTGATTTGTTTGATTAAGGCATTACCATGTGAAGTACCTATATCTCTGTGCAATTACTGTTTTTATGTGGATGATATACAGCAGGTCATGTGCAGTAAAGGATGCTCCAAACATGGCAAAATGAAAATCAGATTTAAAAAAATCCATTTTCTAAAAAATAATTTTCTTCTGTTTTTGAATTTTTCTATACTAAAAGCTGTCATGCAGTGGAAAGAGCATTATTATGCTGTGAAAGGAGACATAAAAAGAATTTTGTATTATATCAATACTTAAAATATGCAAATATGAT